TGCCCAAATGACGAAGAGTAGACACTCGTTTATGATTCTGGAGTTCAAGGTCAGGTTCAGGCTGGCGGTTCAGACTTCAGAGTCCTTAGCATATAGATGACTTTCAGAATTCTGAGCCTGGATGAAATCATCAGGAGGTAGGAGAGGATGGGGGAGAGGAGGGACAGCTGAGCTGTAGGGCTTCCAGTGTTTAGAGGGCAGGAGGATGAGGAATGGCAGGGGAGGCTGAGGGGGGCAGAAAGGAGGAGAGCCTCCGGGGGCTGGTATACTGGGAGCCATGCTAGGAGGGCAGGGGCTAACTTACTGTCTGAGGTGGACTTTCGGGATTGGGCTGCCAGAATCTCTGTCTGGTTGTAGGGAACTCTGGTGGCTGCTCAATTAGAGCTGTGGGGCCAGTGGCAACAGCGGGAGCCATGCACTGAAGGAGCAGTCACATCTTTTCTTCTAGCATTATCTTCCCTCTTTAAAATGTTATAAAAAGTCTTTTCTTTATGAATGTCCATGTGATGTGAAATACTGGGTGCAAGTCCCAAAGTCATCTCTAAGTGTTCATTTGGGTAATTATTAGCATCTCTTTTCTTCAAAGAGGAAACTTAGAGAAGCAGTTGGAGCAGATCTTAGGTCATTTAGCCTCACTACTTCCCTGGGTGTTTTCTGTTCGAAATCCCAATGTATAGTCGTTTGTCTTAGGCTGGAGCAGTCCAGTAATGCTTCTCTCCAAGCCTTCCATGGAGTATTTTAAGAAGCTGGAAAGACCACATCTGCCACTGTCCACTAGCTATGTTAAACTTGGTTTTGAAATGGTATTAACCTTCTGTTGACATTTACAGAGTTATGATAGTAATACCTACCTGCAGGATTATATCGGTTTAGGAGATGAAAGATAAGTGCCATGAAGAATCAGCTATCACAGTTCTGTGTATTGAGCTGCATCGCCTTCTGTACCTTCCAGGCATTGTACAGGCATTTGGAGCAACAGAATAAATTGATTCTGTAATCTGAAACATATTTGAGAGCTCTTCTTCACCCCCTTTACTGTATGTAGCATGAGAGCGCGTGAGTGACTGCTATCGAACATAGAACCTAATGCTTACTGGTATCTCTTTTGAGGTAGTGAAAGCTTGACACTTGTGAGGGAGAGACATTTATTATGACATACATCATCTAAATATTCTCTAGTATAGATAGAGTCCATTTACTAAAAACACTTATATCTGAATTTGGCCTACTTACTCTGCTGTGCTGGCCTTGCTTCCCCTTGTGGNACAAATACCATACTCATTTCTGCCTTTGAGATTTTGCTCATCTTCTTTTGTATGCTCTTCCACGTTCTTCCCAGCCATTTAAATTTTGCTTTTCCTTTTGGGTTAAGATAAAATGTCACTTTTTTCTATCAAGTTTTTCCCCAGCTTCTGCTAATTTTTTTTCCTTCCAAATTGTGCATACTGTATGTTATATAGCTTAATGTCTCAGTATTTCAGTTACTTGTGTCTTCCCTAAGAGTCTTGAGATCAGGGAAATATATCCAGTTCTTTTAATTAATATTCATAGTGTGTTCTTAAAAATTATTTCCCCTATTTGGATTAATTCAAAGTTGACATAAATTTATAGGTTCTGTATACTCACATATGTAGTAATTCAGTAATTGTATATTGAGAGTCTGTCTTGCATAAACACTGTTCTAGAAGCCCTTCCTAATGGAGCAGACATTCTAGTAGAGATGGTTCTGAAAAGTTTTTATCAAATTTAAGTTATTAGGAACTTTTGAAAGGAAAGATGTTAAGAATAGAGGGCTAAATATCAGACTGAGTCTTGGTTAGTGCTATGTGTACAGTGAGTATGTCTAAATGATCATTAACTGACGTATTACAAACCTGCCAGGCAGTATAGAACCTGTCTTTGTCATTATTGAAACAAGACCACCCAGCTTCTGCTTTACTACTTCTTGGGAGAAGAAACTCCCTATCTTCTGACATGGACAACTTCCTATTCAACTCTCATTATGAGGAAGTTCTTTCTTATATTGAGGTAAAAGTGTTCTATTTTTTAATTTTGAGCTTGAGTTTTATCTTCAATGCTAAGTTGATTCCTGCTGCATGACAGCCAATTATTTGCAGAAAACCTGTCTTCCTGTTTAGTCTGCTCCTTCAACTGTACTTTAGTGACACTGCACTAAATGTGCTGTTGCAGGAATGGTCTGACCAATATACAGAAGAGTAGGATTTAATTTAGGCACTACAGTTTTGGTTATGCTGCCTAAGGCTGCTTTTGTTTTTTAGGTAGTGAAGTTGAGGGTTCCCAAGATCATTTCCAGGTTTGATAATTCACTAAGAAGACTCACAGGACTCCACATATAGTCACACTTACAGCTATGATTTATTACAGTGAAAGGATGAAGTGAAGAATCACCAAAGGGGAAAGCGCAAAGTTTGGGGAGGTCTGGAGAAACCAGATGCAAGCGTCCAAGAGTCCTTTTCCAGTGGAGTCACACAGGGTGTGCTTATTTCTGCTTAGATATTTTATTTACTTATTCTAACTGCTGCTAAAATAGGTTTCACCATTCTGAATTTCAGAACTATGGATTACGTAGTTTGGACAGATTGGTTATACAAAAGTCAAGTTCAGGCTTATCCTGGGTCTTTGTATTTCCGTACCTGCCCTCACGAGAACAGTGCTGGCTGTCCGTTCCTTTCTTTGGACTTCAAAGTCTAGGTTTCTTCTTTCCTGAGGCCTGCTGCAGGGAGCGGAGTGTCTCAGGTGACGTGTGCTTTCACTCCTCCTGTGCTGTTGGGTGTTAGCTGTCTGAACTCTAGTTTCCCTTTGAGTCTTTTCCAAAGTGGAAAGGGTTCTTAGAACCAGAAGTTTATATAAAATTAGTCTGAAAAATGTTTTACCAGTGTATCATTAAACATTTCTTAAGTGTCCTACATAGTATCCTCAAGAGGTATTTGTAGCTTTCATTTTTATGCATAGCTATCTTAGGTGATTTACAAAAGAAATTAAGCAGACACAGTCTTTTTATTTTATTTTTAAATTAAATTAATTATTTTTATTAAAGTTTCATTGATGTACAACCTTATGATAGTTTTACATAAATAACACTGTGGTTTCAGCATTCACCCATATTATCAAGTCCTCACCCCCTCTGTTAAGGTCTCAGTCTGTCAGCATAGTAAGATGCTATAGAGTCATTACTTCAGGCACAGTCTCTTTACCTTGAGAATTTATAATGGATTGCATGGAAATGGACAAACATTGAAAAAAGTAAGTGAATATAATATAAGATCTGTGTTTATAGATAATAAAGAGGAAAAGTTAAATCTAGTATTTGAGGACAACTTGACTGAAAATTGTAAACAAAAATTTGTTCTTTGAAATTAAAAAGCCTTCCACCTCCAGACAGTACACTCTTTCCATGAGAATAGTGTGCGGGAGTCTAAACTTCTCTCCAGG